CCATTTGATTTTAATGGTTTTTTACCGAGATTAAATTAAGCAGCCCAATATAGAATTAGGGGTGGCGAATTTGGCCTCCAATTTTGAATGCTCGAATCATTTTAGTTAACGAGATAAGACGATTTTTGAGAAATTTTCAAATAACAAAATAATTTACAAAACTTGAATTTTTATTATTTTTTAGAAGTCTGAAATTCCCAACCCTGTAGTTGTGTACTGTCAGAGTACTATCAAGGATTGTGAATCTTGCCTCCAAATGTGACTGCTCAAATCCTTGTAGTTTTCGAGGTATGACGTTTTTTGTGATTTTTTCAAAAATTTTCAGAAAACTTAAATTATTATTTTTAAAAAATCTGAAATTCCCAACCCTGTAGTTGGGTACTGTCAGAGTACTATCAAGGATTGCGAATCTTGCCTCCAAATGTGACTGCTTAAATCTTTGTAGTTTTCGAGGTATGACGTTTTTTGTGATTTTTTCAAAAATTTTCAGAAAACTTAAATTATTATTTTTAAAAAATCTGAAATTCCCAACCCTGTAGTTGGGTACTGTCAGAGTACTATCAAGGATTGCGAATCTTGCCTGCGAATGTGACTGCTCAAATCCTTGTAGTTTTCGAGATATGACGTTTTTGTGATTTTTTCAAAATTTTTCAGAAAACTTAAATTATTTATATTTTTCAAAATCTGAAATTCCCAACCCTCTAGTTAGGTGCTGTCAGAGTACTCTCAAGGATCGCGAATCGTTCCTCCAAATATGACTGTTCAAATCCTTGTAGTTTTCGAGATGTGACGTTTTTGTGATTTTTTCAAAATTTTCAGAAAGTTCAAATTAATTATTTTTCAAAATTTGAAATTCCCAACGCAATATTTCGGTGTTGTCAGGGTACTCTAAAGAGTTGCAAATCTTGCCACATGCGACTGCTCAAATGCTTTTAGTTTCCGGATGTGGCGTTTTTTGATTTTTTCAAAATTTCTCAAAGAACTTATCTACAAAGAAATTCAAATAATTTGAAACTACCAACTCGATGAAGATACAACCTTATTGTCAGCGTACACACTGGAGTCTCAAATCTTGCCTCTTAATATGAATGCTCAATTCCTTTCAATTTCCGAGATAGGACGTTTTTTTTCAATTTTTTTTTCGGGAGGCAGGTTTTAAAAAATTCACAAAATTTTGAATTCCTAACCCTATAGTAGGGTGCTCTCAGGGACTCTCATTGGTTGCAAATCTGGGCTCCAAATTACTCCAGAGGCCCATTAAGTTTTCGAGATGACGCTTTTAAAATGGGAATTTAAAAAATTGAAAAGTTCGAAATTACCAACCCTGTAATTGGGTGCAGTCAGAGTACACTAAAAGTTTGCAGATGTTGTTTCCAATATATGCGGTTTTTCATAAGTTGTCGAAAAATTTCGAAGCACCGGAGGTGCGTTAAACGCTAGTTTTACTTTAACTTGTCCCGATAATTTAAATTAGCACTGTATACGCTACAATCTGCAGTTCTTGACTCAGTTGCCAGTCTGTAAAACGATTGGCTGATAAGCATATGGTCTTGCGTTCGATCTTGGACATATGAGCCACTGTTGTCTTTCTATTTTAAGCAAGTCAGGCGTTTACAATTTAAAAAATTGTTTTCTCTTAATCAATGCTAAACCTAGTTTCTGTATCACCCGAATTAACCATTTTGATCAAAAATGATGTATCACGTCAACGGTTAAAAACTGAGTACAGACCTTACATTGAAAATGAATGTCAAACTCACACATGTTCTTCTAGTTTTTCGACTCTATCGAAACAAAACGTACGTTTTTGTTCTTGTGTTTCAAATAAGAGTTTAATGTTCTGTCTCAGCAAAGAAAAAAATCGACTGGTGCTTGTCTGGAATCGAAAGTTATGTTTTACTCGAGCAAATAGGCGCGCATTTTTGATATCTTCACTGCTGGACAGAACGCGTTCGAAGAAACCACTGGGTGAGCTGTTTAATTAATGTACTGCTTCAATGTAGACTTTTTTACTGCAGCAAAGCTTGTGTTATAGTATGAACTCTCTTTTTTTTCAAACTAAGTTGCAAATATAAGTGTTCATTTTGAAAGTTTTCTTTAATTGTAGTATGTGCATAAGATCAATAACCAGCTATAACGTACTGCCAATGCTAAGGATGTTAACAGATTGTTATATTACAAATAGCACTTCAGCTTCAAGGTATCATGGATATGTAGCGTAGAGGTAGGGAAGGAGACCCGCAACAAAATAAGCGGGTTCGAATCGAACCTGGGCAGGGTCGATTGTTTTTTTTTTTGCAATTTTTTACATACTAGTTAAAATGCGTCAGCTCTATAAATTAAGGCATGTTAATTGGTAAATATTTTTTTTTCAAACTGAATGGTACAGCTAATGCGTCATAATTGGTTTGCGTCACTTAGCAATTATGTAGACTCATAATTGGCGTTCGTCACTTAAAAATTTTCGTAGACTTGAAGTTTTACTCATTCAGTTCTTCCCAGTAGCTATATCAGTCATATTTTTGCTTGTGTATGCAAAGTGCAACTTTGTCTCTGTATACACAAAATTTCTTTACGTATAATAGTCATGTTTAAGAGTTGCTGAACGCAGTGAAGACGAATATAGGTCTTGTTTTTTTTCTTTGTTTGTTGCTCAGTAAAGTCTTAAAATGCTTTAATTACTTGGTATATATGCTGTTTTTGAGTTTATGTTAAATTCATCTTCTAAAAGTTAGTTAAGTTGCGCTCTCCAAATACGAACGTGAAAATGGATTTAAAAAAACGAGAATGACTTCAATTTTAATTTTCAGACTTTTCAGTTAAATCAAAACTTCACTTATTGATCCAGTTTTCTGAAAATGAGTTTTTCTATGTAAAAAGTGTCAATTGCCAAATTCATTAATTCTAGATATTTTTTACTTTGATGTTCGAAAGTTGAAGTTGTGTCGTAAAAAAATCTTATAGCTTCTTATCATGGTTTCTAGTTTCATAGTTTCTTTTCCAACTGTCTGATGGCTGTGTTTAATCATTTTTCAACTTTTCTATTAGCAAATGAATTGTAATCAGGTACTAGGCATTTTCCCCTAAATAACTTCGCTAACAGAATAACAAAAATATGAAATTGCAATTTTTTAAGGTGCTCGTGGATATGCTTATATATTTTGTACATATGTTTTTTTTTCACGTTTAGAATAAGCGTTCTTTCATTGTAAAATCTTAGCCAAAAACATTCGGCTTTTTAGGTGCCGGCTTTTGTTCTGTCAGCGTATTTACCTGCAGTTTTTTTTCTATTAATCTTCGGTCCCATGTATTGAGATTGATTAAATTCTTTCAAAAAAATTATCACAAACTGAAAAAATAAAGTAAACATGAGAATTTTTTGAAACCGTTGTTATTTTGTCTTTTGTAGTTCGTAACTTTTTTACGACTTGTTGAGCAACCGACTATCTTAATTACTTTTGGACGCAGCTAATTCTTCGCATTTTTCTTGGATTTTTTTTTTTCATTTTTCCTCAACTGAAAATTCATTGATTTCTACGCAAGCGAACGCCGAATTCGCAATGATTGATGAACTGGTATTTTGCCAGCCTGAATTGTTATCCTATCGAATTTTTTTCGTATTGAAATTCGGCTTTTGTTTAACTGTTAAAAAAATAACGACTTTTTCTCTTTTAGGCATTTTTCTTAGTTCTAGTTTTTTTTGAATAAATTAATTTTTCCTCAGCGTGTTTTTTCAAAATCTAAGAAATTAGCATCCAGTTTTCAACTTGTTTCAAAAGTAATGCAATTTATGATATTTTTTACTCTTTTTTGAATCGTCTTGCTTTGAATCGTCTCAATTTTTATTGACTCCTTTAGACGAACATTTGAGCATTTCTCATTTCTGTCCTATTTGAAAAAATAATAAAAGTGGATTTGGATTTTGACAAGGTTTTGTGCTATTTACAAATGGGTTTCTGCTGAGAATTTAAATGCAATACAGCCAAGCTGAAAATGACAGTTGGAATCAGGCAGTTCTTGATTCGCAGATATTTTGTAGCTGATTTTTCTTTGAAAAACTTGCGATCCGACAGTTTTAGTTCCGACCATTGAAAATTTCGAGCGTATAAAGCAAGCAAACCCAAATATTCTGTCACTTTCTTCGAGAGTACGAATAATGAATTTCGAATTTTTGTTCAGACCATTGAAAATGGGGGAGGAACTTTGTATTCTGGTGTATTTTTTTTTCTTTTTTTTTTCAACTTTTTGGCTTTTCACGCAAAATCAGACAGCAGAAAATTTTTTGGAATACGTTGAGTGATCAATCATAATAAAGCCCTTGCAGTCCTGAATCGAACTACATTAAAAATTTCAAAAGTTTTTTGGTCCAGTGTTGAGAAAAACTGGCTTACATTTTTTAATTTTTGGTCTAATTTCGAACTAATAAGGTGAGCATGCAGGTTTACTATAGCTTCTTTATACTTAATTTAAGCCGTGAAAATTAGTTTCTTTGTAAAGTTAGTTTTAATAAAAAAATTTCTGCAGAAAAGTTCGAAAAAGATTTTAACCTATTTTTTCGTTTTTGTTAATATTTCTATAAAAACTGTTTTCCAATGGGCCTGTATTACTATGACTGTCGAGTATGCCTAAGTTTTATTTTTTGTTCAGATCTTTTAATCGCACCACGCCGAAAAAAAAACGACAATAATTTTTTTAAAAAACTTTGTATTTTCTTAAGACTATGGACGGAACTTCTGTGCTACTTGCACAGTGACCGGCTACCCTTATTAGTTTTTGTCATTTTAAGTTTCGCTTTGCCTATGATAAAATTGATTTCATAGTTATTTTTTGATCATGTTGTTTTTTAAATCAAAGACCAGGTTTCCAGTGACAAGAAACAACCTTTTATCACAAAGGTTCAAAAAGTCAAGGTTTGTTCAACAGTTAATAGCCCTCGCGTCATTTTGGCGATACTTATAGCAGCCTTAAATTCACTGACGAAAGCTCTAATTTATTTATTTTTCAGAAATGTTTTGATTTCTACGTGTGTTTTACCTATCTTTCTTTCGATTTTAATCTGATACGCTGCGTGCTTTAAAAGGTTGCATCAAACATACAACTGAAGCAGTAATCATGTCGAGTGTAACTCACTCAGATCTGGCGTCTGAGTTTACATTCCCAGCGGCTGATCTGATCCCGAAGAGTGAGACTGAGGCAGCTGCATTTATCAGAGCCAATCCCGACTTCGACGGCAGTGGGGTTGTAGTGGCCATCATTGACACTGGTGTGGATCCCATGGCCAAGGGCCTTCAGGTAGGTTTTCAACTTGGCGTAAAGAAAGGCGTAATAGTGGTGTGCTTTTTTCAAATGTTTCAAAAATACCGCTGAGATTAATACAAATTTTGTTTGTTTTCGGTTTTAGCCACTAAGATCATGACGTACCTTATGCACGTTTTATGTAACTTATGCACGTTTTAATCTCTAAAAGTTGGTGTTTTTTGTTAGACAACAGCGGATGGGCGTCGAAAAATCCTGGACTGTGTAGATACAACTGGGAGTGGAGATGTGGATACCTCCACCAAAGTGAGTCCAGACTCGGAGGGCATGATCACTGGACTGACGGGGAGAAGACTCAAGATACCATCCGATTGGAATAATCCCTCCAATGTCTACGGAATAGGTGAATAAAGACTGGGCTATGGGAACAGGTGGGGTTACGAATAAGCGCATAGGTACTCTATTGTTATAATACTTTTGTCCCGGGTAATCCTCCTTCTCATTCATAACAATAATAACTCGAGATTACACTATCGATCAGCTTAGTGTATTATTACGAACCTTCTTTTTTCTAACCTAACGCGCTAATAAAAGTGTTCATTAAAAGTGTTCGCTTAATTGGAAATTTCACTGTACCATTGGAAATTGCGTAGCATCTGTTATCTGCTTTTTTGTGGCTAGTGTTTGGGGCCTGTTAAGCTTCCGTCGCTGAGTGGTTAGTGTGTGAGACTCTTAATCTCTAGGTCGCAGTTTCGAATCTCAGAGGTAGCTATTGCACTTCATAGAGCTGGCCTTTTGTCGCAAGTGTTTGCGAAGCGAATCTTCGCCTCTGTGTAATCTCTAGGTCGCTTGTTCGAATCTCGGGCGTAGCCGAATTTTGCTAATTCAAGGCGTGTTTCTACTTTTTCTTATTGCACTTTAGAGAGCTGCTTTTTATCGTGTTCTCGCTAGTGTTTGCGAAGCGAAGCTTCGCCTCTGTGTAAAAAATTCATAATAACATTGGTGGCATTCGGTTGTCCTGCTCGGCAGCTTAAAAAAGGATATTAATTACTAATGTTATCATGTAATTAGTTGACTTATGTAATGTCTGGCTTTAATTTTACCTTGAATGCAGGTGTGAAGAACATTCTAGACCTGTACTATCCTAGCACGAAGCGCCGTGTTCTGGAAAAACGAAAGAAAAGGTTGTGGGAGGGACAAAACGACACTGCTCTTGCAAGTATAAGAAAGCGTTTGTTAGAAATCGAGCATCTTGAAAAGAAATCAGAATCATCATCTACGACTGCAGACTCCAAAGATTCAGAAAGCTCAGAGGATAAATCGTCCGATGCATGTTTTACCAGTAAATTGGGCACGAAGAAAAAAGACCAAGAAAAGCTACGACTTGAAAAGGAAGATCTGAATAGTCAATTGAAGCTTCTAGAAGGTTTGGAGAAAAAGATACCAGACCAGGGAGCTGTTTTTGATGTAATCACTTGGAATGACGGCACTGGAACTCCTGGTGCATTCTGTGATGCCCTGGAAACGAAGAGATCTGGATGGTGTGTATGTGTAGACAACAGCTTCAGTGGTAAGATAGTCCGTAGTTAACAGCATAATGATACAAATAATTTTTTTTCAGGCTTACGGTTAAAAAATACTGTCAAAATTTTCGTATAAAGTACAGCTTAATTTCACGCCTGAGAGAACGTCATTAGATCATATGGTCCGTCTAATGACTTTCTCTCAGACTTGAAACAATGATGTAAAGAAGAACTTATAAGAAGAAGAATTGCAAACTTTTAAAGCTTTTCGTTTCAGTATTTAATTGACAAAATTGAAATTCTTTTTTCAAAAATATTTACTAAGCTTGCATTTCTCAACCTGATTGTGGGCTGTTCTGGAGATATGACCATGTAGTTTTGGAGATATGACCATTTAAATTTATGGTTGCCTTAAATGATGTTTTTTTTGTAATTATTTTAGGAAGCTCTTTTCACATTCAACAATCAACGTGAAGCATATAGGTGCGAGTCATGTGCTAGCTTGGATGAATTACTTGACCGCTATATGTTGAGTTCTTCTAACACGCGTCAGGGGCGAGCAATTTGGTCTGATTAATACGATTTGATGAGAGGCAATTTTCAAACAATTTTTTTTCTGTATTAGTGGGCAGTCGTGAAATTCAGGGCTTCGACATGATATACGAGAAATGTTGTTTTAGTCTGACTTTCGAAGTAAGGATTGAATAGTCGTGCTCGGTGTGGATTTTTGTTTGGACAAATTTTGGCTTTTTAGATATTTTTTTGCAACATTTTTTCATGCTATCTGAAAAGTATTGACGCCCTGAGCTGAAATTTAAAAAGATATTTCTCCTGTGATCATTTTTCTGGAGTTTATGACGGTTTGAAAATTGCCTATTTGGGACAATTAACGCGTGATATATAAATGGTTCCTTTTTGTTTTCAGGAAACTATTTTTTTGCACAACCGGAGCGTAGTGCGATGAAATAAGATTAAAGATCCCTTTTTTTCAATATTATTCGCAAAATTTAGTACTACTCTGGTAGTTTTTTTTTCAGCAGAATGCTTAATTGGCTATATAATAACATGTGCGTTGAATTTCGATTATTAACAGGTTACAGTTGTTGCTTTTTTAGTTTATCTAATGAACCAAGAAAACTATTTGTTTTGTATTACAGTACAATAATAAAAACTCCGTTTCAGAAGTTTTCCTATTCAGTTTATAGCAGGAGTTCTTGCAAGATATAATTTATACACAATTTAGCTTTATACTTACCAATTTAATACATGCTAAATTTGTGTTTTTGTGCACTTTGAAGCTCTTTTTGCTGCTTTCTCGCTAGTCTTTGATTTCGATAATCATCAGTGGCCTAATTGGTTGGGCAGTCAGTCACTGGAAAACTCGAATGTCCGAGGAATGAGGTTTAATTCCCGCAGAAAGCGTTTATGTTTCAAAAGTCATTAGTTAATGTCACTAGTTAAGATCTTTTTGTTTTCTGTTTCTCTCTGACTTTTTAGCTACTTTTTTATTGTGTTTACAATGTGCAGCGTGGCCTCTGTGCACCTATGAATACATTGACAGACGCTTATTACAGCTCTTTAATTTTTTTTGAAAGATGACTGTTTTCTTTGATCTTAAGGGGTAATCGGACCGTTCAGGGCTTTGCCCGGATACGAAGTCTTAATTTTATTATCGAACGTTTTGTAAAAAGCGCGGAATAAATACCCAACTTGAGACAATCCATATTTGAACAAGTAACCTAACCTTAAAATGTAACTAGAATTACGTTCAACGACATTTCTGGCGCTTAACTCAAAGTTGGACTAAAAAGCAAAATGTTCAAAGCAAAGTTTTTTATTGTCGTTCGACTCAATAGGACTGAAAGGGTTTTTATGATGAATCACTCGACCCATCTTGATGATTTTTTGTGGCACCTGATTTTTCGTGCAAAAGTACTAAGAAAATACTAAAACACCCCAAGGCAAATTTCCCCCCGCTTTCAGTGGTCGGAACGAAAAAAAATTGATCTCTGATCTGACACAAAATCTGTACATCAATAGCCAGTGTCATCCGCCTCCTCGAGGTGGGACATCTCCGTAGATGAAAACTCTCTCCGCGCGGAAGAAAAGCCAAGGTAGAAGGGTGAAATTAGGGACGGGGCTAATAATAAAAATACAGAACTGCCAGGGAAGACTCTTTGTTTTCATAAATTGGAACAATTATTTTTTTTAAAAATCTCAATGATCTATTGGGAAATACGGGGACCGGTCTATTAGCAGGCGCATTTAAAAGATTGCAGCTGATTTGCTAGCTGTTTCAAAATTTGTTAACTGAATTTCATTCACTCAGCGTACAATTTTTTGAATGTTTTCGCCCAGCAAATCAAAGTTAAAGAAAATCTAAGCCAACTTTTTTGCGAGTGAATGAGCGCATTTGTTAAGCCATTAGCGCATGCTAATCTGCGCATATGATTATTGCTACACTTCCGCGAATACAAAAATAATACGTTGAAACAGCAACAATATGAAGTTTGTTGCCTCCTAAATCAAGAAGTGTTTCAAGGTGACCTCGAGTCGTGCAAAGTGCTCCGCCCTTACAAAGAGGAGTATGACATAGGCAGAATATCTCAGGAATGCATGTGCAACTTCACAGTTAATGTCTATGGAGAGAAAGGAGATACGACAGTGATATGTGCCACTAGTAGTAGCCACGGGACACATGTAGCCGCCATCACAGCAGCATACAGACCTGATAATACGGACTTAAACGGAGTTGCACCTGGAGCTCAGATTGTCAGGTAGGGAACATCATCATGGTTTTTTTCTGTACAACTGTTTTTACTCAGTAGATGAGTTAGTTGTTACGCTTGCGGTTAGCAAGGGTATTGCAATCGGGTACTAGAATTTTTCCCGTAAATAACATTGATCACAGGACTCATCGACTCCTGGTTGTACGTTGGCTGAATTCACATTCTGAAGTGTCTCTTGTACACTTAGCCTGGTGGTAACGAATACGCCCGGGACGGCAAAGGTTGTGAGTTCGAATCTGACCAGTACCTTGTAGTTGCTTTCAGTGTTTTAGCATGTTGAAAATCTGGCCGAATATTGTTTATAATTTTAACAACTTGATTTGTTACAATTTCGTTTTTTTTCTTCATTGTTTGTCTTTTTTTTCGGCTTGATCGGTTCAGGCTTATTTTTTTTTACTTAGTGGCCCCTTATTGCGTCGTTTGATGACCGAAAAAAGTTTTTGTGTGCTTATATGGTTTGAGAGGAAGGGAGACAAGAATTTTTTATTTCTTATCTTTTTTATATTGTTTTTCGGTATGACTATTTTCTGCGCTCGCCAGTAAAACCCTTTTTTCTAGCGTACTTGCTAGAAGGTGCTCAAAACGCGATTTTCACCCCACACGAGACGCGGAAAATTGCTTTTTGCAGAATATCTCCATCAAATTGTGTTTACGGCAGATCTGATAAGAATAGGTCGACATTTTTGAAAAATTACCATTTTCCATTAATGTCAATCATCAGCTATTTCATCTATTTCACTCGTGGCTCAGATTGCCCTGAGAGCTTCACATTAAGTTCTCTCGGTGTAGACAAAATGATCGGATCATTTTTGCTTTTCAGATTAAAAATGTCATTCAATTTTTACCCTTGCGATAAGCAAAGTTATTGCAATCGGGTACTAGACTTTCCCCTGGTAATTAACATTGCTCACAGGTATCATCCATATCCTGGACTCATTCATGTAATGGGCATTTCTGTTTCAACATGTATATTTTGAGACTGTTATCATTTTCAATATACGGCTTAATCAAAATTTGCTTTTCATTTTGGTAGTATTTACCAACTCGATTTGTTAAAAATTCATTGAAGGTATCGGCTTATTTAATATTGACTTGGTGGCCTGTCATTGTCGTTCGATGACTGAAATTTTTTTGTGTGCGTGTGTTTAGGGGGACTTAAATGCTTTTTTTCAAATGTTTCTTACTCGGTATGAAGGGTTTCTGCTCAGGTTTTTTGGCTCAGTTACCGCTTGATTATTACACTTGCAAGCTTTAACCAGAAAAATGTGATAGTACAACTTTTATTTTTTTCCAACCTAAGTCGCAGATATTGGGACAACTTTTTGTGCCACCTTTACGAGTTTTTGATAGCATGTGCTTTGACATTCGATTTTTAATAAGTTAATACAGTTGATGCATTTTTAATTCATCAAATGAAACAAAAAAAGCTACTTGTTTCAAACAGCAGTACAAAAAAATCGATTTTTGGAAGTTTCCAACTCACTATATCACGCATTTTTTTGAAATGCATGATTTACACATAATTTGGCTTTATGCTTTCCAATTTATTACATGCAAAGTGAATATGGATGCCCTCAACTTATTAAATTCCAAATTATTGAGTGTCAAATAGTCTTTTTGTGTTTGGTGCCACTTTTGTCGGATCACATGGGCATTTTATTAGCATATGTAGCTGTTTTATTTGTTCTAAGTGTTAGTGAATTGTCAAGGGCTCGTGGCGCAGATATGAGAACAGGGTACTCTAAATCTCCTAGTCGTAGGATCGAATCGGTCACAGCAAAAGTTCGAATTTTCTAAGCTTTTTTATCTTTTCTTATTTCTCTTGTTAGAGTTGCTTTTTTGTCGTTTTCTCGCTAATGTTTAAATATGAATTCAATCAACCATCGTGCACATCTGACGTAGAGGTAGGTAACACAACTGCTTGAGACGACAAAGGCTTGTTGTTCGAATCCTAACGCGACATGTTTTTTGCAAACTAGAATTTTTGTGCCTTTTCGGACCATCGTCCGTATGTTTATTTTTGTCGGCTGCTCTTGTAGCCCGACTTTTTTGAAGGTTCACTTTTCTTCCTAAGTGCTGTAACACCCATGCTTGAAAAGGAAAAGACCGAGAGTTCGGCAGAAAGGACTTTTTGAAGATTCGACTTCTTTCTAGCATACCTTGTAAGTTTTCTCATGGTGCATGTAACTTCGTTTGGGATATTTTCTGCCTTTTTTGGAATTTATATCAAGAAAAACAATCCAGTTTTGTCAAATTGAGTTAGTTTTTATCGAAAAACCTCAATCGAAATTTAAAGTGCTTTAAGGCTATTTATTTTTTAAATAAAAATTCGAAAATTTTTTTTCAAAAAAACAAATCAATGTTTTTTTCTTTTTACTTGCGTTCATTTACTCTTCTCCAACTGTCTTTTTGCTATGTTTAAGATATAGTGATCAGGACAACTTTATGGTGAAAAATCGTTTTATGATTACTGATGATAGCATTGAATAAAATTCATTTCCGTTTACAATTGGAAGTCAGCTGCGGTTGACTATTTTCCGAATGGTAGGTGGTATATAATTTTATCTTTATAAATTATGTTCCAGTATCAAGATTGGAGACTCCAGACTGAGTGCCATGGAGACTGGTACTGCTCTTATGCGAGCCATGGAATACTGCAACAGAAACAAAATCGACATCGCAAACTACAGTTATGCTTGAAAACTAGAAAGTCAAAAAATTTTGTATTAAAAAAACAGACCCAAGTCATTTTAATCTCGTCCTTGTTCGAAAACAACCAATCAAACATGACGAGTAATGGGGTTATTTTAAGAAAAATAGTTTTTAAAAAAGTTTTCAAGTATAAATTATCTTGTCACAGCTTCGGCGAGCCAGCTGCTTTTCAAAACGCAGGGAGAATCATGGAGGCGATCGAGAGATCAATTCACAAATACAACCTGTGCTTCGTTACCAGTCACGGAAACGCAGGACCAGGTCTACGAACCGGCGGTGCTCCCGCTGCATCTTTGAATGGAGCTTTCACTGTCACAGCTTATCTCTCCCCGGCGATGCGGAAAGCACAGTATGCATTGGACAATCCGAATTGTGCCTCGCAACATTACTATTGGTCTTCCAGAGGTCCCTGTATGGACGGGGGTCTAGGAGTTACAGTTTGTGCGCCAGGAGGCGCAATCACGAGTGTAGCTCAGACGTTAATGAAGGGCGAAGAGCTTATGAATGGAACTAGTATGTCTTCGCCTAACGCTGCAGGGAATATCGCTCTTATTCTATCGGGACTGAAACAGATAGGTTTAGATTACACACCGTCTTCAATTGAAAGGACACTGAAGAATACTGCCTTGAAAATGCCAGATCATTGCAGTTTCTCATCTGGTGCTGGAGTTGTACAGAGTTTGAAAAGTTTTAATCACTTCAAGGAATTCGCGCCTAAAATGGACAATTTGAATCATATGTACTTGAAAACAACAACAGCTAAAGGCCAGAAGAACGGAATTTTACTACACAATAAATCGGATTTTGACAAGAGTGTGTCTAGACATTACGTCACAGTTGACGTCAAATTTTCACCGAGAGTTGACAGTGAAACCAAGTGCGATTTCTCAGTTGCATTAGCTCTTGCTGCTTCCGAATCGTGGGTTACAGTTCCGAGTTGTGTATATATGACTAACAATACGCGCGGGTTTTACGCTACTGTCGATACGTCCTACCTCAAACCAGGTGCTCATTACGCTGAAATCATGGCGTATGATGAGAAGAATTTCGACTATGGACCTTTGTTCCGGTTTCCTGTTACTGTCTTGAAACCTCTCAATGAGACGTCGAGTGATACTGAATTCTGTTTCGATTCTATCCAATTATCCTCGGGAAAGATAATTCGGAAGTTTTTGCGACCACCTCAAGGTGCAAGTTTTGTGACTATTAAATTCACGTCATTGTCTTCTGAAGCCGCGGCGAAGTTAAATCTGCATATGGTGCAAATCAAAGAGTGCTCTATGCACACAGAATGGTCGCATCATAAACAGTTTGTATTGGAGAGCGAATCAAGTACGTCCTACAGCTTTCACGTAGTACCGAATGTTCTTCTAGAGTTGTGTCTGGCTCAGTTGAACTCGTGGTCGGTGAACAGTTTTGTCAAGATGGTAGTTTCGTTCCAAGGAGTCATTCCCAGCTGCGACAACTTCACCACGGATCATTTTGCGCCGCCTCTTCGCATAGATCTTGAGGCTAGTTCAAATTACGTTTGAGAGAGCAAGTGACTTGAAATCTGTAACTAGACTGGGCAAAATTGAGTTTTGTTTATTAGGTAGTATTAAGTTGTGACGTTCAGCTGCCCTTTTTGTGTAGTGGTATGACACCCGCTGAAGGCTGCAAAGGTTCGGTGGTTTGATTCCGACCAGGACCTGTGCTTTTTAAAACTTGGGTTTTTCTGCCTTCAATGACAAGGTTTGGACTTCGTGTGTCAAAGCTTGCTGTAAAAGCTTTCTTTTTTTTGAAGTGTCAATGAACCTAGTCTAGACTATTATATAGGTCGTGATGACTTTGTTTTTTCAGGAAAAGTCTTAAAAATTTGTTCATGTTCAATATGATTTTTCGTTTTTGACTTTTGGTTTCTTTTTAAGCTCAGTTCATTTCCTTTGTTAAAAGGAAGGCAAACACCACTATCGAACAACAAAAGTCAAAAGTGTAAAGGTCACAAAAAGCGTGATCAGCTTCTAATTTCGAAAGTGGATTTCAGATTTCTCAGTTTTCAGATTTCACAAAGAGCTGTAAAGCGAAATATTTTTTACTTTGAAGTTGTAAAATTGATTTTGTCGTGTTTAAGAGTCGATGAACGTAGTTCAGGCTCTTACTTAGGTCTTGATATATATTTTTTTCGTTTTTGTTTCGGTAAAAGTCTGGAAATGCTCTATTAACTACAGAAAGTGCATGCAAACTCCACTATCGAACAACAAAAGTCAAAAGTGTAAAGGTCACAAAAAGCGTGATCAGCTTCTAATTTCGAAAGTGGATTTCAGATTACTCAGCTTTCAGATTTCACAAAGAGCTGTAAAGCGAAATATTTTTTACTTTGAAGTTGTAAAATTGATTTTGTCGTGTTTAAGAGTCGATGAACGTAGTTCAGGCTCTTACTTAGGTCTTGATATTTTTTTTTCGTTTTTGTTTCGGGAAAAGTCTTGAAATGCTCTAATAACTACAGAAAGTGCATGTGTAAATATTAATGCATCTATGAAATCTCTTAGATATATGTGCTCTTTTTGAGTGCAATTCAAGTGCGTTTGGTAAAGGGTGGGCAAATTTCGCTCTCGGATTGCGAAAGAGGAAATGGCGCGAGGAAATGATTGATTTATAGTTTCGAAAGTGGAATTTAATTTTTAGATTTTTCAACGGATTAAAAACATTTCCCAAAACTCCAGTTTTCTCAAATTGAGTCACTTTTATCAAAAAAGTGCCAATCATAAATTGCTTTTGTTTCTTTGCGTTCTTTGACTCTTTTCCATTTGACTATTGGCTATATTTTATGCTACTGCTTGTTAATGCAGTTTGTCCGCAGCGTGACTGAGTTAGCTTAAGATTTGAATTTTCTAATTATTTGGTTTTCAATTGCTCAAATTTCTTAAACTCCAATTTAGATGGCTTAAAAATACTTTTAAACTTGGTTTTACTATCAATTTTCCTTGGAATTGTATTTGGTGATATATTACAATAGGTGGCAGGATCAAATTAAATAGCTGCATCGCTTTTTGTTATACTTCGCACATTATTTAAAAATTATTTCAAAGCCAAAAAAGATGCGTAAAATGTGAAATTTTGAATAGCATTTCATTTGGCAGAGTAATGTCTTTAGAAAAACTATCTTAGTCTTAATACAAGTGATTCAAAATTAAATGACTATATTATGCATTATCGTTTTCAAATTTAAAAGATGCACTATACTCAAAATTACCACCTATTGTAAGATATCACCCTGTATTTGTGTTTTTGCTTAGAGAAAATCGGAGCCAATAGCACAAAATGTTTTTCATTTTTTGAAACCTTTTTGTTTGTCTCTGAGTTGTTCATCTTTCTTGAACAACAAAAACGTTGGGCCATTTTTTTGATAAATTATGTATCTATTAGTTTACATTCCGACTGCTCAGTTACCGATATATTTTTAGTGTATGGTAGTTGTCATTGCAGTTTCTAAGGTTGGATTCTAAGAGTTTTTGGGAAATTCGTTTCTTTTTGCGATACTAAGTAATTGAAACTAATGCGTATCATTTACCTTTGTTTCTCAAATGGCGCGAAGCCCCGCTTCGCCAGTGGCGACCCTGAAAAATTATGATGAAATTTTTTGATGAAAAACCCAGAAGAAATAAAATAGTCGGGTGCTGTGCAAGTAGCACACAAAGTTCTTATCACTGTTATATTAGCAAAAATAGATACATTAAAAAAAACTGTAGACTTTTGATGATATTGATAAAACCGCGACTAAAAGGGCTTTAATATGAAGTATCGCTCGACCCACATTACTTTTATCGGGCTCAACATAAAAAAAAGTTCTGCCTCTTGTTCAGTGGTCGAAATTACGTTTAAATCTTGAACTGGGGATTTAAATGCATATGGACATAGCTGATGTATTCATCGTTGACTTCAAAAGCTTCAATTAACTTCTGTGATTTAGAACCGCCTCAGTCGTTGCACAGTGGAACCCAACGCAGTTTTGAATCACCTCATTACCCCTTTACGGCCCACCGACTACAAAATTGTTCCTCTCGACTCAGAAAGAGACTGCAACTCCCTTGGACCCATGGTGGACGGGCGCTATCTATGTCAGCCAATCAGCGAAGAGACGAGTGAACAAGATGCATCATCATGTGATTTGAAAGAGTTGATGTATGCCCTGGAGTTGACCTATTTGTACAGCCACAGTGGGAAGGAGAAGGATGTGTACCCAGAATGTCCTCTGCTGGGTTCGATGTTATATGAGAGCCAGTATGATAGCCAGATGTGGATTATGTTTGACAGTAACAAACAAGTGATGGGATATGGCGACTTCAAAGCGGACAAATACTCATGTAGTCTCACGAAAGGTGGGCAAATGTAAATTTGGCCAGGCGTTTTCTGACATCTATTAAAGTATTCAAATCCAGAATATAGAAGCAGACTGATGATAGGCAATATGTTACCCGAGAACAATTTACCTCTTAGCTTTTTAATGTCTAAGAGTCGATGAACGCAGTTTAGACTCTTATATAGGTCAAGATGATTTTTTCAGGAAAAATTTTTACAATTTGTGCAGGCTCAAATTTAATTTTTCGCGGTTCGACTTTTGATTTCTTTTTAAGTTCAGGTCATTTCCTTTGTTAAAAGGAAGGCAAACTTCTCTATCGAACAGCAAAAGTGTAAAGGCCTCGTAAAAAGTGATAGACTTCTAGTTTCAAATTTACTAATTTAATTTCAGTTATCTCAGTAGAATTAAAACTTCACCTATTGATCCAGTTTTTACACTTGCGATCAGCTTGGTGTGTGATTACGAACCTTTTTTTCTATCCTAACTCGCAAATATAACTGGTCATTAAAAGTGTTCACTATGTCGAAATTTCAATGTAGCATTGGAAATTACATAGCTGTTCTCTGCTTAATTTGTGGCTAGTGTTTAGAACCTATTAAGCTTCTGTCGCTGAATGGTTAATGTGTCTCTTAATATGTAGGTCGCAGGTTGGAATCTCAGAGGTTGCCGAATTTTTTTAAGCAATTTGAGGTTTACTTCCTAATTTTTGCGAAGCAATGCTTCGCCTGTGTTGAATTTAATTTTAGTTATCCCAGCGGAATTAAAAGTTTGCCTATTGATCCAGTTTTCTCAAACTGGTTTCATCATCCCGATTTCAGTTGATTTCAATCAAAAAAAGTCTCACTCATAGACTAGACTGTTCTAGTAGTTCAAATAGCTTTAAGGTCATATATTTTTTTACTTTATATTTCGAAAACAGGATCTCGGAAAGTTAGTTTTTTTTGTTTACCTGCGTTCATTGACAATTCCTACTGTCTGTTTTTAACATGTGCGTGAATTGGAAGGGAGATGATTTGTTGCCAAGCTGTGCAATTTTTCTCAATATTTCCGTGCTCTCCTAAGTGACTCAAAGGAATAACTATAATAATTGTTTATTTTCATCAATTCGGTATGTTACAATCAAAGATCGATTTAATCATAATTTGATGAAGCACCAACTTGGGATATCATCAAGAGATCTTTCGATCTGTCGAGTGACGTCTCCTCTGGGCTATTATTCAACATAACAGTCCTGTTTCATTGTTAGATCTTATTTTAATTCCCAGAAAAAGAATGTATCTTTTTTGGAGAAATTGTGTGTAACTTCCATTATTCTTAGAAGTAATAGTAATCATCCCATTTAAATTTAGTGTCTTTTGGTTCCTTTGATAGTGTCTTGATTTTTTTGAAAAATAGGTGTCGCAAATGTTCGCCCAACTGCTTTTAGGAACCATGATTTATTGTTGGACTTACCGTGAAGTGTTTTAATTGACTAGCAGTTACGCCAAACAATTAAATGAGTGGTGAATTAATGTAGAATAGTCAACAAAAACAAGTAGGCATTCTTAAGATAGTCTGGAAATCGTGTCCCTTGTATGTTCAGAAATTAAGTTATCGCCTTATTAAGACTTCCAGTCAACACTGCTCTTGAAAGCACTTGTCCATAAATTGCTAATTTGTACCCAGAATTTGAATATGTTTTTTTTTGTATAGAGGATGGTAAAAATACGCTTCTATTCTTTATCTATCAGGGTTCTTCTTTTTGTCATTTTTTCTTTTGAAAATTTATTGGGCTAACAATACATTTTTCTGCAGGTGATTACACTATTAAAATGTGGATTAGACACCCGAAATACGAAGTGTTGGACAAACTTCAAGCTCTTCAATTCATAATTTCGCGAAAACAACCCAACATAAATCTCTCTTTTTATACTACACACGCATTAGTCTCAGAACGAACCTTCAAGTCCACCAGTTTAGCGAAAGGGGAAATGACGCATATGTTCGTCTCACCGATTGCCGAAGATAAACTGCCGAAACAGTACACTTCGGGTAGTTACCTCTCGGGTAAAATTTCATTCATAGGAAACGAGCCTGGAAAATCTTGTAGTTCCTATCCGTTAAAGTACCAACTGGGCCCGCTGTGTATTTCTCCAAAGAAAGATTCAGCGACTGCTGCAACCAGTAATGAGAAACCGGTCAAGGAAAAGAGTTATCCTGAGTTTATAAAAGAAGCAAAACTGTCGTACCTTCAGAAGACTGCGACGACAATAAATGCGGAAGATGCAGTTAAGATGTACGAAGAGCTGGTCTATGAGTTTGCGAATGATTTGAATGTGGATATAACTTTCACAACATATCTGGGTAAGTACAACCCGGTTGTTTTTTCAATGAAATATTTAATAATTTCGCTTTATCAAACGAGCATTCAAATCTCTACTATATTTAAATGCGTGTGACACGTATCTTGCCATCTTTTAGCTTTTTCGCAACGGTTAAGCGCACAACGTATCTATGCATGGTTAAGTAAGCTATAGGGTATATTTCAATGCTTAAGAAATTGTTTCGATTTTCCAGTTTATGAATGCTAGGCCAATTGGAAGGCCCGAATGTAAGGCTGTCGCTATGATGTCGGGTGGGATGCGGGAGGGCAGTGCACTATTAGGTAGCATAAAGGTGGGAATCATCCATCTATACATTATGTAACGTGCGTTTTTCAGCGTTTATTTCACCAAATCTGTTATGGTGGGGTGCTGTCAGGGTTTTCTCATGGATTGCGAAATTGGCCTCCAAATATGAATAGCCAAATCTTTTTTAGTTCTTGAGATTTTTTTTGAACGCAATTTCAAAAAGCTTAGGTTGAATAAAATCTAAACATTATGAATTAAAATTCCCAACCCTATGGCTGGGTGATGTCATGGTTCTCTAGGGTTAAAAATAATGCCTCCAATTATCACTGCTCACGGTTACATAGCAGTATTTAGACAACCGCGTATTCAGACTCGTCAGTATTTTGACAAATACTGTTTCAACCAATCAGAATCGAGACAAAGAAGAAAATAATAAATAATTATAGTTTATTTTGGATTATTTATGTCTTTTCTCGATTCTGATTGGTTCATACAGTATTTGTCTAAATACTGACAATTATGAATACGCGGTTGTCTAAACACAGGCTGCGCTCCACTGCTCACATACTTTAAGCTTCCAGGATGTGACTTTTTTATGCTTTTTCAAAAGCTTTCAAGAAACCCTGGGTATTATAAACTTCTAGTTATTATAAATTTTAATAAAATTCAAAATTTTTGAAACTCAGCCCTGTAGGAAAGTCCTAGACCTATAGTTGTGTGCTGTCAGGGTACTCGTAGGGTTTGCAAATCTTGCCTCCTAGAAGCCTTTAAGTTTTATTGATATGCCGTCGTTTTTTGTGATTTTCCAAAAAAATTGAAATTCTCATGTGCATGCTGGGTCAAGGTACTCTCTGGAGTTTTTCTGATGTTTGTGACAGTTATTAAAACAGTTATACATAACTTATCCGGTCGCATTAAGTAAGCATGTATCAGAAGTATTATTATCGGAACAACTGAAGGGTATTCGCGCATCTCCATTCAGATGGTGTAACTTCAAATCTCAAACTCATGCAATTGGCATAATTTTAAAAGATTCAACAGCAATATGAAACTTAAGTTGCACGCGATCCAGTCTCCGAAATGTTGCCGAAGATACATACTTTTGAATGCAAGTCACCTTCTGTTGAACTCGAAACTATAGAGCAGATAAATGCAAATTCAGATAAACAAAATGGACTCCTCTATTTGTAACATTCAGAAATTTAAAACAATTTTAGTAATAAAATTCGAAAAAAAAAGAGTTCCGAAAAGTTTACAAGATCTGTGTTTGTCGAAGCAGCTTTGCGCGCTACTATTTTTGAATTTCGGAAGATAGGAGAAAAAACCTTTTTGTTTTAAGGTGCTTTGGTTTAGGTTCTGGTCCAACCGAAAGGCAAGAAAAGCTTCGATATAAGCTGATATCAGTTTGTGACATGGCCCTTGCAAAGCTGGACTTAGACCATATTCTCGCTTACTTCGGATGTCAGAAGAATGCTAGAGAAGATCTAATAATTCGGAAGAAATCCAGCGCAGACTCAAGTAAGAGCAACAGCATGGAACAGGAAGTTAATGTGGATAATGAAGAAAGCAATGGAGCTGCGGGGTCCGAATTACTAGTCTCAGGGGGTGCTAAGGAGTTCGAGAAGGAAGCCACTGGCGACGCAAATGCGAAGGATATTGAAAAGCAAAAGAGTCAGGTATGCTGTTTTCTCAATTCTTACGACTTGAAGAGTTTTTAGCAGGAAATTTTGGTTCGTTTTTTGGAAAAGTCTGTTTGTTGATTCGATTTTTTGTGAATGAGTGAAAAGACGATATTAGCCTTTTTTGTGCGATAGGAAATTCAACCATCTTTACTTAACAGGAGCACAGTGTTATAGCAGTTTCTCAATTTTTCTGCATCCTTATGTAAAATCTGCATCCTTATGCAACATTTTGGAAAAAACAGGCCTAAAAGGTGTTATTTGGCTCTTTTTGGAACAGTTTGACCAAAAAATGCGTTTTTTCGGCGCGCTTCCCTTTCAAAGTTGTTATGAGAGTTTCGTTGACGCTAACATTCGATTTTTCGTCTTTTGACTTCTTTTTAAGTTCACTTCTTTTTCTTTGCTGAGAGGAAGATGAAATTTGAATCTGTCTTAAGAAAAACAAACTAAAATAGAAAATTTTTTATCTGAGCTGGTACTAACACCTGCGATAGCAAGTGTCTTGTAATCAGGAATCAGACTTTTCTTCTTTCACATCTATAAGAAATTGTGAAGTTGCTTTCTTTATTTTGTGAAGTGAACTTTAGCAACTTCGACCTTTTCACACTTGGCCTAGGGGTAATGTGATTGCTTTTGTACCATAAAGTCTAGGGTTTGAGTCCCGGCCTGGCCTTGTTTTTTTTCCAGCATGTTAAGGTTCGGGAAAAGTTTTTGCGCTGTCGGCAATTTTCATCGTAGATGCAAGTGTTTTTCTTATTTACTCCTGTAATTTTTAAAGTTAATACCCATTCGCTGTCAAAGCTTTAGTCGGACTGAAGGTTTTCGTCCTTTTTATCGGCTTAGTTACCTTATTTTGTGTCGCTTCAAAGGCATAAAAGGTTGATGTGAATTTTTTTGAAAAATTTAGGCAATTTCTGTTGCTAGATATCAAAATTTTGAACCTATTTTTGAATTTTTTTCTATGACAGCAATTTCTTGTGGATTTTTTTGTTTTCGACTCAATGGGCGTCCACCCACTTATTTTCGGCGTAGGGGCTGCTCGGTAAAAGTTGGCGGTTGTGTGTTTTTTTACTTTTTGTGAAATTATTTTCTTTTTTGCGAAAGTTTTTTAAAGTTACTTTCTTCTTATTTTCTATTTGCTAGCTTGCGAAGTTGCGCTTGCGGTATATCGCAGTTGATGCGAAGCTCCGATTTTCATTCTAGTTAATACGTTGCATTTTTTACATTTGCGAGAGCAATGGTCTTGTAATCGCGAACTAGACTTTTTTCCCCGTAAACAACTTATCTTACTCGTCTGTAAGAAATTGTGAAATTGCTTTATTAGTGATCCCTAGCAACTCTGAGACCTTTTCGTAATTGGCCTAGAGGTAACGTGAATGCCTTTACACCATAAAGTCTGGGGTTCCAGTCCCTGCCCGACCTTTTTATGAATAAAATTGAAAGTTTTTCCCTAGAGAATTGAATGGTCGGCTTTGAGTTTGTTTTGTTGTTTTTTCGGCAAAAATGATCCTTTTTTTAAAAAATTCAGGTAGTTTTTGCAAGTGTTCAAAAATTTTAACTGTTAAATGAACCTTAAACAATTTTCAGGTTCGTTCCTATTTGGTCTAGAGATAACGCCATTGTCTTTGCACCCTGAGGTCAGGGGTTCGAGTCCCGGTCGGTCCTCGGTATGTATGCAATTGAATTTTTTTTCGTAAAAATTGAATAGTCGGACTTTAGTTTTACTGCTCAAGTTTTGTCAGCTTAGTTGCCACATTTGGGTTTTTCTTGTGCTGTTAGCAACTTTCATTGTAGTTGCAAGTGCAAGTGTTGTTCATTGTACTTTTTTTTAATTTCAAAGATGTTTTTATAATTTTTTTTCGGCTCAACGCAAAGAATGTCGGCGTTGTTCCCCATTCGTTAGTTAAGTTCCGTTGCTAATTTAATTCTCAATGGTCTGGCGTGTTTGTCTAGAATGAACTTCTATCGAGACATGCGAAAAGTAAGTTTTTGGTAGACCTATTTTTTCAACTTTTTTTGATTTCTTTTTTTTTAATGTTTGTGTTGTGTCGCAAGTGATGCAAACCTACGCTTTGTTTCTGTATGAAATATTTTGATCCAAAGTATTTCACACTGTCTATCTCTCTCTCTCTCTCTCTCTCGGAAGAAAGGCCAAATGTATAACGGTGGAAGTAGGGCCAGGGCTAATAAAGAAGAATTGACAAAAGAAAGGCGGCAAAGATTACTCACGCTAAAATTTGTTCTCAGTCTTTTTAGTCTTTTTTTTGTTTTTTTTTTCCAGTAGTTTTAAATCAGCTATGTTTCAAAGCTTTCTAGATCAAGTACTTTTATTTTTTTCTGCATGTTAAAACTTGAAAAAAGAACCAGTTTGAGAAATTTCGAGGATCTCTTATCTAATAGTACTCTTTTCTTATATTCCCACAAAGCGAACCTTTTAAGAGCTATGAAGGTAATGAATATTATTAGGTAGATCTTGGTGATTTATTAAGAGTAATGAGCGTAGTGAAGACTCTAATATAGGTCTTGTTGATTTTTTCTTTTTCAGGAAAAAGTCTTAAAATATTGATGCACTTAGCTATAATGTACTTTTTGAGTTCAATTGAATTCATCTGCTGAAAGTGACGTAAATAGCACTCTCCAAATACAAACGTAGAAATGGCGCGAATAAAGAGAACGATTTCTAGTTTTGAAAGTGGAGTTTAATTTTAAGATTTGCAGCGGAATAAAAACTTTACCGTTTGATCCAGTTTTCTCTAGTTGATTTCATTTTATCAAAAAAGCGTTCATTACTCTTTTCCAATCTTCGATTGGCTGTTTTTTTCTTTCAGGAAATGAATTCAAAATTGTTCACGCTCAATTTTATTTAAGTTTGACTTAAAGTTGCGCCAAAACTAATTATTCGATCATTACGAGGTCAAACTGTACACTGGATAGGCGCACAGTTTTGTGTCTGTTGGTCAGTGGAATCCAGAGACAAATCTTTAATCATGTTCCAAAATGTAAGTGAGTTTCACCAACAATTTTTTGTCAATTCTGCGTTAAAATCCTCTAACGTACATTTTGGAATTGCAGATTTTGCAACTGCAACTGTAGATTTTGTAACTGTTGATTTTGCAACTGTAAGCGGATTCTGAAAAATTTAAGTTGTTAATCAGCAAAATTTATAAGTGGAATCCGCAAAACTAAGCGGGTTCCGCAATTAGTGAGCGGAATCTGCAATTTTGGTTGTTATATTGAACTAAACCAGTTCTTGCGTTTTTTTATTTAGATATTTCGTGGAATTATGACGAAATTGCTGAGCTTTAAACCATTGTCAGTGGAATCCACGAACAAGTCGTAAATCCTTGTTTAACTAAAGTCGTGGATGAACTCCTTTAGTATTTGGGATAAATACCCCAGCAAGCTTTTTTGAGGAAAATTTTTTTGGAAACCCATCGTAGTTACGCTTGCGATTAGCAAACGTTATCAAATCGGAATATAGACATTCTTTTTTTTTGATATAGACTGTCTTTTTTTCAGCTTAACAACTAGTTCAACAAAATCAGTTGAATCACTTATGATGCTGACGTGATCATTTTCTCAAAAAAAATCAAACTATAGTATGTATAAATTAGAGTTTTCATATTATTTTTCTTCTGATGATTTTCCGACTTAATGGTTGTGGACTAAAGCTCTGTGGGTTCATTTTCTAAATTATGTAGTTTACTTTCGATGAGCTACTGATTTTTTTCATCATGAATATTATATGGGCGTCACATGGATTTTTTTCAATATTTTTTTTTTGATGAAAGTTTTTGGCTGAGTTTCAGCTTATTGGATGTTGGCTTCAATTCTGTCGGCTCAATTACCGAATTTTTTGTCCTTAAACTGTTGCAACTTTGAGATCAATATAACTAAGGCACCAATTTTTGATTGCCAAAAATTAACCCCACTTCAACCCCAAAGTCTTCAGTTGTAGCATCGTTCGAAGTTCTGTTTGCACCATTTAGCGTCATGGTGCACTCAGTCTATAATTGCTGTATTGCAAGTGGTGCGAAGCTCAGCTTCGCCTCTGTGAAATGAATAAACAAAATCGTTTTTTTTTTGGATAAGCGAATTTTAGTTTTGACTTGATAATATGTATGTGATCAAAACTTTAAGTTATGATCTAATTTTTCTGGTTTTCTCTAAAATCTTACCTAACTAAGTTGCATTATCAGCACAAAGATTATCAATTGAAAATGTCTTGGAACTAATTTCTACACTCTTATCTCTTAATTCTAATTGAATTTTGGATTAAAGTCGGAAATTAATTTGAATCTTGCATGAAATTAACTTGAAATTATTAGGAGGATAGCCGAATTGAAAGGAAATTTATTGAAGATTAATCCATGATTTAGCTTATTTCAGTTGGTTTTCATTGTTTCATTAATTGCGATTTTGCGCAAGGATTTAAGCTGGAAAAAACTGTTGTCAGTAAATGAGGTTGAATTGTTGGCAGTAATTGAGATTAAACTGTTGGCAGTAAATGAGGTTGAAATGTTAGAAAATATCGCTATTGACCAACAGAAAACCACAAATTTAATTTTAAATGGTTATATAACTATCTTTGTTATTGGGTTCCATCAAAAACTGCAGATTCCGCTTGCAATTGCGGATTCCGCTTACATTTGCGAAATAATGACAGTGAACAATGCACATTTGATGTTTTGTGTGTGGATTCCACAAACTGTTCCGAAATCCGCAAATTTAGATGCTGATTCCGCATAATCCGCTATTTTTGGAGCGATTTTGAGCTTTACAGTTTTTTAATTTTTTGTTCGTGGTATCCAAAACAATATATAAGAATCAAAGAAAAGTAGAAAGGTCGGGGAATCCGCGACCAAACTGTTTCCGTCCTGTTGCGGAATCCATTGACAAGTCACAAAATGCACAGTTCGGCCTCGTAATGATTGCTAACAACAATATATCAACGTAAGTCTTCTTTAGCTGAACAAAAATTAAAGATATAGATAATA